CACAGTGCGCCAGCCGTGGCAGCCTTTGGAGGGTGAACCAACAGCAAAGGAAGACCTTTCTCTGTCTCTCTCTCTCTCACTGTCCACTCCGCATGTCAAAAAAAAAAAAAAAAAAAAAAAGAAAGTGAATGAGAAATTGGGAATTTACTGGATCCCAAGGTATTAATTTTCCCATAGATAATCAGTGAAAAACTGAACCTTACAATAGAAGAATCATGCTATCATTGACTAAACTCACTGATGAGTGTGGGTCACACTAATAGTGGAAGTTGTTTGCCTATTAATGTGATACAGTATGAAATACCCAGCACTACCTCTAAACCTAGAGTATGTCCAGTCTAAATCTTACCAAGCCTTATAAGTAACTTTAAAAAAATACAAATGAGTGGCCGGGGCTGTGGGTTAGTGGATAAAGCCACCACCTGCAGTGCCAGCATCCCATATGGATGCCGATTCGAGTCCCAGCTGCTCCACTTCTGATCCACTTCTCTGCAATGGCCTGGGAATGCAGTGGAAAATGGCCCAAGTCCTTGGGTCCCTGCACTCACATGAAAGACCTGGAAGAAGCTCCTCTCTCCTGGCGTCAGATCAGCCCAGCTCCCGCTGTTGTGGCTATTTGGGAAATGGATCAGCAGATAGAACACCTCTCTCTCTCTTTCTCTGCCTTTCAAATAAATACATAAATCTTTTTTTAAACAAATACGCATTCTTGAAGAAAAAACAGAACCACAAGTAAGAAGACAATTTCAGGTTCCAGCACTGTGGCATAGTGGGTAGAGCCACCGCCTGCAGTGCCAGCATCCAGTATGGGTGCCAGTTTGAGTCCCGGCTGCTCCATTGCGATCCTCCTGTCTGCTACGGCCTGAGAAAGTAGTGAAAGATGGCCCAAGTCCTTGGGCCACTGCTCCCACGTTGGAGACCCTGGGGAAACTGCTGGCTCCTGGCTTTGGACTGGCGCAACTCTGGCCATTGCAGCCATTTGGGGAGTAAAGCAGTAGATGGAAGACTGACTCTCTCTGCCTCTCTGCCTTTCAAATAAATAAATAAATAAATCTTTAAAAATAACAAAAAGAAGACAGCTTCAGAATGTGGATCACTATATAGAACGGTTGACCTATCTGTTCAAGTCATTTACATGGGGAAAAGTAGGTCAGTATATAGTTCACAATTAAAAGATTCTAATTGAAAAATAGATAACTACGATTTGTGGATCTTGTTTTATTAAAAATAACAAAGTTGGTAGTTAAACAAAGACAACATTAAACCTAACATTTTTTAACAAATGTATTTATATACTTGAAAGGCAGAGTTACAGAGAGAGGGTAAGATGGAGAAAGAGATCTTCTGTATGTGGTTCACACTGCAAATGTCTGCAACAGCTAGGTCTGGGCCAGACAGAAGCCAGGAATCGGGAGCTTCATCCTAGTATCTTATGTGGCTGGCCAGGCCCAAGTACTTGGGCCATCTTATGCTGGTTTCCTAGGCATATTGGGAAGCTGGGTCCTAAGAAGAGCACCCAGGACTCTTATCATTTCTCCAATATGGGATGCTGGCTTCACAGGTAGTGGCTTAACCCATTGCACCACAACTTCAGCCCCAAAATCTTGGCTTCAGTAGGAGAGACTGGTTTCTAGTGTGACTTACACATTTTGTAAACATTTAAGTTTAGTTAGTCCTAGCCAAAAATGCACCCTAAAACCTTACTTAAGAAAATTGGCTTGAAAGTATATCAAGTGTTTTCTTTGTGAAGAATCAACTGTGTGATTAGCTGCCACCTTATATAATCGGGCAAAAAAAATTCTTCAGCAAATCATCTTAAGTTTCCCTACCTCCACCCCCACCATACACACAACAGAGAAACTTCAGAAATGTGTAAATAGAGTGCTCATCTCATTCCTGGAAATTTATTTGTGAGCTTGCATGAGCTATGTGTAATATATATGTCTGTTTTTATGTATATGTGTGAAATATATGTGCATATATGTGTGATATATAGATAAGTGAGGTTTCATTTCACAAGAGACTTTTTTTAAAAATAAATCAGTGGTTTTCTTTTTTTTTTTTTTTTCCTTTTTTTTTTTTAAGATTAATTTATGGGGCTGGCGCCTTGGCTCACCTGACTAATCCTCCGCCTGCAGTGCTGGCATCCCATATGGTCACCGGGTTCTAGTCCTGGTTGCTCCTCTTCAGTCCAGCTCTCTCCTGTGGCCCGGGAGGGCAGTGGAAGATGGCCCAAGTGCTTGGGCCCCTGTACCCGCATGGGAGACCAGGAAGAAGCACCTGGCTCCTGGCTTCAGATCGGTGCAGCGCCGGCCATAGCGGCTTCTTCCGGGTCTCCCACATGGGTGCAGAGCCCAAGAACTTTGGCCATCTTCTACTGCTTTCTCAGGCCACAGTAGAGAGCTGGATTGGAAGAGGGGTAGCTGGGACTAGAACCAGTGCCCATATGGGATGCGAGCACCACAGGCTACTCTGCCACGGCACCAGCCCCTGGGAGAAAATACTTTCAAGGTGCATATCTTAAAGGATTAATATCTAAGATATATCAGCAACTTACGAAACTCAACAACAACAAAAATCCAACCACAAAAAACAATCCAGTTAAGAAATGGGTTGCTGGCACTGAGGCATTGCGAGTAAAACTACCACCTGCAGTGCCGGCATCCCATATGGGCACTGCATCCCGGCTGCTCCACTTCTGATCCAGCTCTCTGCTATGGCCTGGGAAAGCAGTAGAAAATGGCCAAGTTCTTGGGCCCCGGACCTGGAGGAAATTCCTGGCTCCTGGCTTTGAATAGCCGAGCCATTTGGGGAGTAAACCAGCAGATGGAACACTTGCTCTTGCTCTCGCTCTCTCTCTTTCTGCCTCTCTGTAACTCTTTGAAATAAATAAATCTTTGAAAATAAAAGATGTGACAAAAAGAACCCAGACTTTATTGAAGAAAGAAATGGGCACAGGACCTCAACAGGTAGAAATACAAATGGCCAACAAATATATGAAAAATGCTTACTATCACTAGCCATCAAGGAAGTGCAAATCGAAACCACAATGAGATACCATCTCAGCTGTGTCAGAAGGCTAAAATCCAAATGACTTAACAGATGCTGGTGAGCATATGAGAAAGAGGAACACTTTCACACTGTTGGTGGGAATGTAAATTAGTGGAAAACAGCATTGAGATTTCTTTAAAAACTAGGAATAGACTTGCCATATGATTCAGCATTCCCACTACTGGGAATATACCCAAAAGACATGAACATGTTGTACCACCATATTTATGGCAGAACTATTCACAATAACCAAAATTTGGAATAAGCCAAGGAAGGTGTCCGTTATCAGATGAATGGATAAAGAAAATATGGTAGATATACAGCATGGAATATTATTCAGCTATTAAAAAGAATGAAATTCTGCCTTTTGTAGCAAAATGGATACAACTGGATGACATGTTGAGTGAAATAAGCTGTACACAGAAAGCTAAATACTGCATGTTGTCTCCCTTGTATGTGGGAGCTAAAATTAAAAAAATAATCAAGGGGCTGGCACCATGGCTCACTTGGTTAATCTTCCACCTGTGGCGCCGGCATCCCTTATGGGCGCTGGGTTCTAGTCCCAGTTGCTCCTCTTCCAGTCCAGCTCTCTGCTGTGGCCCGGGAAGGCAGTGGAGGATGGCCCAAGTGCTTGGGCCCCTGCACCTGCATGGAGACCTGGCTCCTGGCTTTGGATTGGCGCAGCGCAGGCCGTAGCAGCCATTTTGGGGGTGAACCAACGGCAGGAAGACCTTTCTCTCTTTCTCTCACTGTCTGTAACTCTACCTGTCAAATAAACAAGAAAAATCAAAAAAATTCCTATGTGTATCAGTGCTGCTGTGAAAGTAGTTTTATAAAAAATCATTTAAATGTTGCTGAAAGTAACTTTTGAGATTACTTTGGATTTAGAGGATGTTTTATCACAAGGAATGTTACAGATTGACAGTAAACATTGCAGAAGATGGCACAGATAAAACAGTGGGTTATAGGCACATAATGATTTCCATAACTATGGTGGTAATTGAATGCTTCCTTAACTTTAAAAAAATATTATTTGTTTGAAAGACAGAGAGAGAACTGATTCACTTCCAAATGCCTGCAGCAACTGGGACTGGACCAGGCTAAACCCAGAGCAGGGAACTCAATCCATGTCTCCCTGGAGAGAGGGACCCAACTACTTGAGCCTTCACCTGCTGCATTCCAGGGTGCACATTAGCAGGAAGCTGGAGATTGGGAACAGAGATTTCAATCCAAACACTCTACCCACACCTTAACCTTTTTTAAAAAGTTTTATTTATTTACTTGAAAGTCAGAGTTACACAGAGAGAGAAGGAGAGGCAGAGAGAGAGAGAGAGTCTTCCATCTGCTGGTTCTTTGGTAAATGATAGGCAGTGGAACTTTATGTAGGTTTGGTCTTCAAATTCAAGCTTCTTTTCCTTGCTTGATACAGAAGGAAACCTATTTCCGTTACCTAATTACTGTTCTTTTACACTGGAAATAAATCCCTTTTGGAAAATCATGTTTGGGTCTCTGGCATAGCTGACAAGCCACTGTGTAGGCAGTCACTTACTTTATAGCAGCAGTATTTAATGAAATTGCTGTTGGATCAACTAGTGCCACCCTATGTTGGTTATTCAGATACTCAAATCTAGGTTCAAATACAGGTAGTCAAAGTGAAGTTCTCCTAGTCTTGTTATCAATAAAATAAAAAGATAGTTGAGAATAAGCTGTGTGCAAGAATGCATGGGAGTTAGAGATGATCATGTAAAAAACCTAAAATAATCCATTATTCAAAGCAAGTGCTTAATATGTGAAAGCCATCACTGAAATTGTGTTTGTTCCTACTTGACTGTAATGTGTTTGTTCATTATTTCTTCTGCAGTCATACATCCCATTTGAATCCTAAACTCCTGGCCACCTTTAAACCATTGTTATTTGTTTATGTCTTTGTTTTTTGTTTTGTTTTTCAGGCAACAATTGGCATTGACTTTTTATCAAAAACAATGTACTTGGAGGATCGAACAGTGAGTAATTTTTTCAGTGTGCAGTTTTGCAACACTGCAGGTTGGAATACTATGATCAAGTGTATAATCAATTATTGACAACGTAGGAAATACTCAACAAAGTTACTAAAGTTCGTGTATAGGCCTTGAAATAAACTATAACACTGAGTGAATGGTAGTTAGTACTCTGACTTCTGATCTCCAGGTGAGATCCAAAGGAAGAGAGAAAGCTAACTTATTTGTAAAAATTCTGAAGTCTTTGGTTTGTTAAAGTTTTTTTTTTTTTTTTTTTTTTAATTTGGAAAAATAATGTAGCTTTAAGAAAGAATTAAAAGAATTTGCTGGAAAAAAAAATTAGAACTGCCAAAGACCTTTTGAATGCGATTCGTAAGGCATTCAGGAAGATTTCATTTGAGTATCACACAATTTGTGAATATTAAGGTTTTCTTTGTCAGAACAGAACATGTACCAAAATGACCAAATGGAAAGAAGTAATATTCATTTATTTGTTCTATTTTTATAGACCATTCTTTGGAGTGTTCTCTTTAAATACAATGTAAATAGTATATTCTAGCCTAATACCATTAAAGAGATTCCTGTCACCTAAACAGTGAATATCTGTAATGCAATATTGTGGGACCTGCACCCCAAATATTAATTTATCTCTAATATTATTTCTTGTAAGTATGTGAGTTTTTTCTTTGGGATTTTCTCTTTTATATTTTCATATATAGCATGCTATTTCTTAAAACTTGAAAGCCTGGAACTACTTTATAATGGTAAGAAAACTTAATGCTTGTTTTCAGGCTTTTCTTCCTACAATGTAAATGTGAGAAAGTAAGTAAAAGTCTTATGTAAGATTGCTAAAAGACATTTCTCCTTTTTGTTGTGTTATGTGCAGTGTTCTGGGGAGAAATGTATGGGAGAAATATGAGCACAGTGTTAAAGATCCAATTTCAAACAAATTGGACCCAGTAAAAAGAGAGAGACATTTTAGCTTCAGAAAGGCTCTCAAAGAAGCATTAATTCTTTTACTCTGATGGACTAGGGCCACTCATTGATATTTACCTAGTTTTTGTCTTTTTTATGTTCAGTTTAAACGTTAACAGCCTACTTTTTGTAAACTGGAAGGCAGAGGTATTCACAGAAGTTTTAGGGAGGGCAAAGTGGGAAGCCATATTTCTGGTTATATAAATCTTTCACAATGGCATTTTTCAGTCTGTGTACCTTCAAAGCAAGCAAGTATTTAGTGTTAGTGCCTTCTGAAGGAGTTTCGTCATTTCATTTCTCATTCTTCTGCAACCTCTTGCATGAATCTCCTTTCTGTTCCCTTCTCACTCTTCTTCCCCTTTAAAAAAAGTTTTTAGTATTAGTTTTTTTTTTTTGTTCTTTTTTTTTTTTATTTATTTTTTCCCATCCCACAGATCAGGCTGCAGCTGTGGGATACTGCGGGTCAGGAACGTTTCCGTAGCCTCATTCCCAGTTACATCCGTGATTCTGCTGCAGCCGTAGTAGTTTACGATATTACAAGTAGGTATTTTGCAATGGGTTGACCTCTCTTATTTTTCTTGCTTGTTTGACTGATTTTGTTGTTAGGTACGATTGCAATTATGGGACACAGCAGGTCAAGAGCGGTTCAGGAGCTTGATTCCTAGCTACATTCGTGACTCCACTGTGGCAGTTGTTGTTTATGATATCACAAGTGAGTGGGGGGAATTACGCATTTCTAATCTTCTTTCAACCTTTAGCTTAGCTGCATGCATGTTCTTGTCTTGTGCTTGTTTTCCTATTGGCATGTAAAAATAAGTTTTATCACAGACTGACCAGGTCAGAAATATTTGCTTTGGTGTTTGTACCAGTATGCTTTATTTTTACAGTCCTAGGTTGTTCACCCCAGAAATTTTCTTGTCCAATTATACTCCTCAAAACTTTCTTACTATCCTCTTATCCCTAAGCCATACCATAATTATAGTTGAAGGAATCTCTCCCTTTTCATTAAAATTAATCTCAGATTTCTCTAAAATGGAATAACCTGCATTTAAGCCTTTTGCTAAGTTTTCCAAATCCTCCAAGGTTTCTGTTGAGGCTGTTAAAACTTCTGTTCGCCAGCTTTTCTCTGCTTTCCCCTTCCAGCCATTCTCTATAGAGGAAGACAGAGAAAATGTAATGTACAACTTTCTGATTATCATTTTTATTTGGATCATATCTAGATTCTATGATGGACTTAATTGATAAGTTATATAGGAGATAAAACAAGTGATAGTTTTTTCTTTTCCCCCAAAAAGTGAGTAATGCCCTTGGCCTTTTAAGTGACTGTGAATGTTTCATGGGGCATTGGTGATGGAAGGAAAATGTTCTCTGCTTGAAATTGTCTTTGTAAATTGGTTTATGACATACTTTAAGGAAATATTAAACATCATTGCATATAGTAGTTCATAATTTATAGGGTTAAACAGTATCTTGGACTTCTTTAAAAACATATAAACAAAGAAACTTGATTTGAACCAGTAATAATGTTGGTAAACATCTTTTCCTCTCTGCTTAGTCAGAAGTCATATCTACTGAGTAATAATTGTAACGGCGAACCTAGAAATTATGATTCCATCAGGGACTTCTTATGGCTAGGGGCTGTATGCAGTCCTTCTCTTGCAGCTTTACTTTGGGTTGCTACTTGTTTTAAATAGATGTATGTTGGTTATTGTGCATTGACAAGTTTTGTAGCTTGAAAATGTTTGTGCTCACTTTAACCAAAGCAAGTGAAACCTGGTATATTTTCTTTTAAAATTTCACAAGTGTGGTTAAATTATTAATAAATTGTTTTCTTTAGTTACTGTAAATGTATTGAAGTACTCAGAATTCAATACTAGAAAAGATAATTTTTAATAAGTGATTCTGGTGCATTAAATTAATAAACTTAAAGGTTAAAGTGATCAAAAACTGAATAAGCTATGCAAAACAGATACTGAAAGCTATGTAAAGGCTTTACAAATTTTCTGGATGTGTTGGTACTTGCTGATGTACTTTTGGAAATGCTTTCTTTGTCATGTTTGGTATGTGTAAGTGATCAAAAAAGCACTGTGGCAATATGACACCATATTATCTGCCTTGGCTGTCTTTACATTTCAGAAAGTTTTTTTTAATTCCATATAGATCACATTCATTTGGTTATTGTCAAAAACTTTTAAGCTACTCTGAAAACAGTACTGAGAATTTTATTCCTCAGATTTGCTTAAATCACTGACAGTTGTAATCAGATAAAATGGAGTTATGTTGCAGGCACATTAAAAGTGGGTTCCTAATGTGCCCGCCCCCTTCCAACCTCCAGGGCTTTTGGGGGTACATGGGTATCCATCAGTTGGAGAGGTATTTTCAGTTAACACTAATCTCTTTGTCCATTCTCCTATACCAGATGTTAACTCATTCCAGCAAACTACAAAATGGATTGATGATGTCAGAACAGAAAGAGGAAGTGATGTTATCATCATGTTAGTAGGAAATAAAACAGATCTTGCTGACAAGAGGTATGAAGTGATTTTGTATATACAGAATGCTTGGTATCTGTGTTAAGTGGCCTGATAATATTGCTCACTGAAAACTTATTTTGAGAGGAGATTACCTAATCCTTAAGCTTATAACCCTCCATTCTTAATGTAGGAATTTGAAATATAAATGTAAGTATTAAACCCAGTCTGTAAAGGAAAATGAGTTTTGTTTTGTTTAAGCCTATGTGTAAGTAACTCTTAATCATGTGAAGCCAGTAAGCATTTTGCATTTTTAAGGCCTTACAAACAAGGTAGTGTTTTGTTAAAGAGCAAACCATTTTCAGAAATGTCTTATCTTTAAAAATTCATAGTTGATGCATACTCTTTTCTTAGTAATCTTATAAACATTCATTGTAATTCAGTGGTGTGCATTTTTTGTTCTTGGGGGCTTTTTTTTAATTGTATGGTTGAGCCAGACTAGTTGAACTGAATAGCTTGATTGTGATACCTTAATCAAATGAGCAAAGCCATATTCAAGTCACAGGATGCAAAATGTATTAACATTCACTGTAGAACCCATGGCTTGAATATCTGCTTTCAGCATTCTTAAGCAATCTATTGCATATTCTCTCTTCTCTAAGTAGTCTTGACCAAACTACTTAATAATTGGAGCTTTTACTATTTATAATTTGTTTATTCATGAGTTAGATATTGAAACTCAGGTAATGAACTTGTTATGTTAATTAAAGTGTTACATTGAAATCCATTTCAAAGAGTTGTGGAACTGTTAAACTTGTGCCTATGACACCTGGATTAGAATTGGTAGCACAGTTGGAAAAAAAAATTAAAAGTAAATTCAGAGTGGATGTTTATTGGTTAAGATGCCCACATCCCACATTGGAATACCTGGGTTCATTCCCAGCTCCAGCTCCTGATTCCAGCTTCTTGCTAATGCAGACCCTGGGAAATATCAGTAATGGCTCAAGTGATTCGGTTCCTGCTAACTTCATGGGAGACCCATACTGAGATCTGGCTGCTGGCTTCAGCTTGGCCTAACCCCAGCTATGTGGGCATTTGGAGAGTGAACCAGTCTATGGGAGCTTGCTCTCTGTCTCTGTTTCTCTCTCTCTCTGCCTCTCAATTTTTGTGTGTGATTTATTTATTTGAGAGACAGAGATCTTTCTTCTTTTATTCACTCCCCAAATGGCCAGAATGTCTGGAGCTGGGCCAATCTGAAGTCAGGAACCAGGAGCTTCTAACAGGCCTCCCACGTGGGAGACATTGCAGCCATTTGGGGAGTGAACAAATGGGTAAAAGATCTGTCTCTGTCTCTCCTTTCTCTCCCCCCCCCCCTTCAAATAAATAAATATTTTTTAAACAAAGTTGTATAAGAGTAGACGTGAGGAGGCTAATCTAGGCTATATTCTAAGCAAGAAATGATGACTTAGACTAGCACAGTAGTAGTTTATATGATAAGTGGTTAAATTTAGATACATTTTGAAAATATGAGTAGAGCTATCTTGACATATTGCTGCAATGGATGTAACATGCCTTAGTGTTATTAATTATTATAGGTTTGTTTAGATTTTCTATTTCTTCTTGGTAGGTTATATGCATCTAAGAATTTATCCATTTCTTCAAGATTTTCCAATATGTTAACATATAGGTTTTCTTCATAGTTTCTTGTGATCCTTTGTATTTCTGATGCATCAATTGTAATGTTTCCTTTTTTATATTTAATTTTATTTATTTGAATTTCCTTTATTTTTGCTTTGATTATTATTTCTCACCTCTTGGTAATTTTGGTTTGTTCTTGTTTTTCCAGGTCTTTGAGATATATTATTAGATTGCTTATTTGAGATATTTCTACTTTTTTAATGTAAGCACTTATTGCTATAAACACCACTGCACCCCCCTGCTTTTTCTAAAAATTTATTTATTTGAAAAAGAGAGAAATGTTCTGTTAGCTGGTTCACTCCCCAAATGGCCAATAACAGCAGGGTCCAGACCAGGGTTGGGCAAGGCCAAAGCTAGGATCCTGGAGCTCCATCTGCGTTTCCCATATGGCCATTTTCCTCTGGCTTCCCAGGTACATTAGCAGGGAACTGGATCAGAAGTGGAGCAGCTGGGACTCAAACCAGCACTACAGAATGGGATGCCAGCATTGGCTTAACCTGTACTGCCACAATGCCAGCCCCTAAAATTTAGCTTTTTTTTTCTTAAAGATTTTATTTATTTATTTGAGCGATAAAATGATAGGCAGAAGGAGAAAGATCTTCATCTACTAGTTCACTCCTCAGATGGCTGCAACAGCCAGAGCTGGGCCAATTCGGAGCCAGGAACTTCTTCCAGATCTCCCACATGGGAATAAGAGCCCAAGCAGATGAGCCGTCTTCCACTGTTTTCCCAGACCATCAGCAGGGAGCTAGATTGGAGGTAGAGCAGCCACAACTCGAACCAGTGCCCATATGGGATGCCGGTGCTGCAGGCAGAGGCGTATCCTCCTACGCCGCAATGCTGGCCCCTTGATACGTTTTCATTTTCATTAGTTTCCTTTCTAATTTCTTCAGCCCATTTGGGAACATACTCTATTTCCATGTAGTTATAAATTTTCTATTGTTCTTCTTGTTGCTTTCTGGTTTCATTCCTTTGTAGAAATACATGCTATGATTTCAGTTTGTGTAAGTTTACTGACAATATATGGTCAATCTTGGAAAATAGTCAACATTTTGATGAGAAGAATGTGTACCCAGCTTCTGGCTTTGACACAGTCCATTCCATTGTGGGCATTAAAGAGTGGGCCAGAGGTTGGGGTAGGGTCTGTTTCTCTGCCTCGAAAATAAATTAAAAACAACAATAATAAAAACCAATATGGTGTTGGTGCATTAATAGTACACAGAAAAATGGAACAATGAGAAATCTGGAAGCACACACACTTGCATATGGAAATAAGTATAAACAGTTGGAATAACTAACCAACAGGAAAAGGTAAAATCAGTTCAAGTTTTCACACAGTGGAAGAGCAAATTTCAAAGTTTTCAGAGTTGTTTTAATTTTTAAATTTAATTTGAGAGAGAGAGAACCCTCATCAGCTGTTCCATTCCCCAAATGTCTACAGGGACTAGCCGGCGCTGCGGCTCACTAGGCTAATCCTCCGCCTTGCGGCGCCGGCACACCGGGTTCTAGTCCCAGTCGGGGCGCCGGATTCTGTTCCGGTTGCCCCTCTTCCAGGCCAGCTCTCTGCTGTGGCCAGGGAGTGCAGTGGAGGATGGCCCAAGTGCTTGGGCCCTGCACCCCATGGGAGACCAGGAGAAGTACCTGGCTCCTGCCATCGGATCAGCGCGGCGCGCCGGCTGCACTGGCCATTGGAGGGTGAACCAACGGTAAAGGAAGACCTTTCTCACTGTCTCTCTCTCTCTCTCTCTCTCTCTCTCTCTCACTGTCCACTGTGCCTGTCAAAAAAAAAGGGGGGGGGGCAAAAAAAAATGTCTACAGGGACTAAGGCTGAGCTGGGGCCAAACCAGGAGCCAGGAACTCAGTCCAGGCCTCCCCTGTGGGTGGCAGGACCCCACAAGGATCATCACTGTTACTGTTTAGGGTTTGCATTAACATGAAGCTGGAGTTAAGTACACCAAAGTGGGCTTGGGGTGTGTGGACATCTTAACCACAAGGCTAAATGCCATGGGCCTCCCCATCAGAGATTTCATTGTAAAAACAAAGTAAATACTAACCAAAATTTAGCACTTAATAATATGACAAGAAATAAGAGATGTGAATAAACTTGGTTACATAAAACACCATAAAGCAAATGACAAACTAGTAAAAGCTATATAAGAAATGATTAATATCCCTAATGAATAAAGAGCTTCCAAAAATAGAGAAGGAAAAAAAGCATAGAAAAATTGACTACAAGTATGGACAGCTCATTGAGAAAGTTATGTCAGTCTTAACTATCTAAAAAGAAGCTCAGCCTTGCTCTTACCTGACACAAATATAAATTAAAACTGTACTGGGAAATATTTTTGCCTATCAGATTGCCAAAATCTGAATTTTTGTGAAATCCTCTACTGGCAAGACTCCTGGGAAAACAGATAACCTCATAACTTGTTGGACAATGTGGAATGGTATAAGCACCATGGGCCAGAGAGGGTTCATTTTTAGCAGAAACCTAATTATACCTTTATCCTTTATCATAGCAATTTCACTTCTATAAGCTACATATACACAAGTCTATTGGCTGTAGCACTGTTTGTAATATCTAAAGACTATGAACACCCAAATGTTCACAGCAGGGAAGTGATTTGATAAACTTACATCTATCTTCGTAAAGGGGTACTAGGCAGATAACAAAAGAAATGAAGGGGGACTGGTGCTGTGGTGTAGCAAGTAAAGCCACCACCTACGGTGCTGGCATCCCATATGGGCACTGGTTCGAGTCCCTGCTGCTCTACTTCCCATCCAGCTCTCTGCTATGGCCTGAGAAAGCAATAGAAGATGGCCCAAGTCCTTGGGCCCCTGCACCCATGTGGGAGACCCAGAAGAAGCTCCAGGCTCCTGGATTCAGATTGTCCCAGCTCTGGCCAATAGAATGATAGACAGAAGGAGACAGAACTAGCAGATGGAAGACTGACTCTTTTTTTTTTTTTTTTTTTAAATATCTGTTTATTTATTTGAAAGTCAGAGTTAGAGAGAGAGAGCGTCCCCACGCACGCTTCCACCCTCTGGTTCACTCCCCAATTGGCCACAATGGCCAGAGCTGTGCCAATGCGAAGCCAGGAGCCAAGAGCTTTTTCTGGGTCTCCACACGGGTGCAGGGGCCCAAGGAATTGGGCCATCTTCTACTGCTTTCCTAGGCCACAGCAGAGAGCTGGATCAGTAGTAGAGCAGCTGAGACTCGAACTGGCACCCATATGGGATGCTGGCACTGCAGGCGGTGGCTTTACCCGCTACACCACAGCACCGGCCCCCTGGAAAACTGACACTCTCTCTCTCCCTTTCTCCCTCTCTTTCCCTCTTTCTGCAACTCTTCCTTCTGATAAATAAATAAATCTTAAAAAAAAAAAAAGTAAAGAATTCGTATATGACTTAAGTGAAAAGGCAAGCTGAAGTAGTGTGTAACATATGCTGCAGTTTATTTAAGGAAAAGAGATATATATATATATATATATACACACACACATACATATTATTAAAAACAAAATGGAAACACAAATAGGTTTGGACAGTGGTTATTTCTGGTGAGAGAGAAGAAGGAATGGCGGACACTAGACTTCTTTGACAGTAACTTGTAGATATAACTTTGGAATTATATAATAAAAATAGACATTTCATTAAAAACAATTCACAAAAATATAACTATTCAAAGTAACCTAAAAGCATAGTGTCCTGACTATACATCCAAAGATGAAATAGATCCTAGGATTAAAAAAAAAAAAAAAAACTGAAAAAAAGCTAACTATTTTCAGTAAATACATTGTTGGTGATAGTGTTAGATTTTGGTATTTCAAAACTATTGTGTGTATTCTGCATAAAAAAATGAATGTGAGAAAGAAATATGATATCAAGGGGCCAGCACTGTGGTATAGTGGGCCAGGCTTCGTCTGCAGTGCCACCATCCCTTATGGGCCATAGTTCATGTCCCAGCCGCTCCTCTTCCCATCCAGCTCTCTGCTTATGGCCTGGGAAAGCATGGCCCAAGTGCCCCTGCACCCACGTGGGAGACCCAGAAGCACCTGGCTCCTGGCTTTGGATTGGCTCAGCTCTGGTCATTGGGGAATGAACCAACAGATGGAAGACCTTTCTGTCTGTCTCGCCCTCTCTGTCTGTAACTCTACTTCTCAAATAAATAAAATCTTTAAAACATATATATAATATCGATAAAATTTGTAGTTCTGAGTATAAATAGCAACCATGTGAATTCATGACTTTTTTTAATCCTTAAAAATTGCAGTATTTTCTACTTCAGTCTACTAAAAAGACCTGAAGCAGGGGAAATGAGCCCAGACTCAAACTTAATTACCATTTCTTTCTAAAGGAATCAGGATTACTTGTAGAAATAAAAAAGATTGGGGCAGAATATATAGGAAAAAATGGACAGACAATACCTTCTCAAGAGAGCTGTAAAGACTGTTGGGGTCATGTCAGACTTATAAGCCAACTCAAAGAAACTCTACTGATCAAAGATAGGAAAATTTGAGAGTGAATGATTACTATAAAATTTTTAAATTTATGAATCATAAAGATACATTTACAATAAAACTCATTGATCATGTTTGGAAGATGCTAGAGACTGACTTGAGTATTTATCCTCACACCCCTCTTCCTCACCCACTTCTCTAAGGATAACTGAATAGTTGAGAAAGTTTCTCTTTAGAGCAGTGTTCTGGAGCAGGCATTTGACCAAGCAGTTAAGACACTCATGTCTCATGTTAGAGCGCCAAGGTTCAATGCCCACCTCTAGTTCCTGACTCTTAGCTTCCCACTATTGTGGACATGGAAGACAGTGATAGGACTCACGTACTTGGCTTCCTGCCAGCCACATGGGGGATCTGGATTGAGTTCCTGGCTCCTGCTACAGCCTTGGCCAAGCCACAGTCATCAAAGTATTTGGCGAGTAAACCAGCAGATGGGAGTGCATACCTGCTGTTTCTCTGCCTCTCAAATAAATAATTAAATTTTCTATTTGCTATAAGAAACATTAGGATAATTGGCAAAACTTGAATAAAATCTGTAGGTTAAGTATACTGTGGTTATATAAAGGCAATGTTCTTATTTTTAGGAAACTCACTGCAGTGAAGTATTCAGGCCTAAATGCCTGCAGATTGGCAATTTACTCTTAAGCTGTTATAAAAAAAGTATACTTTAAAAAATTAATACACACGTATATACAAAGGATCTTCTAAAAAGTTCATAGAAAATGCATATTTTGGAAGATTTATTTCAAAGGCAGGGTTAGAGAGAGAGAGATCTTCATCCACTGGTTCATTCCCCAATTGGCCGCAACGGCCAGACCTGTGCCAGTCCAAAGCCAGGAGCTTTCTCTGGGTCTCCCATGTGATTGCAGGGACCCAAGCACTTGGGCCATCTTCCACTGCTTTTCCAGGCACATTAGCAGGGAGTTGGGTCTGAAGTGGAGCAGCAGGGACTCGAACCAGTACCCATATGGGATACCAGCGCCACAAGCAGCAGCTTTTACAGGTTATACCACAGCGCTGGCCTTCACAAACTCTTTGAAGCACCCTTGTACAGAGAAAGCACAAGATGAGAAAACAACCAAGTGTAGTAAAAATGCTAATTGTTGGAGTATTGTATAACAGGATGTCCATGTACTTAGTGAAAAATTAAGGGTATCTTGTTGACAGGGAGGGAATGGACTCTAGTAAGGATAGTTTATAGTATTAGGACTAGAGGGCAAATTTAAGAACATACATGTAGGCAGATTAATAAAAGATGTGATGACAGCTTGTTGGAATACCTTTCATTGCTCAGTTTTCTGTATTTAGGAATCATGGTTTGTTGGGAGATATATTTAACTGGAACATTTGTATATTTATTTTTTATATACCAGCTGGATGCTAAAAATGCCAAGATAAATGAACTAATCTTACATTAGAAGGACTGTTTGAGACCACTGCTAATTTTAATGTATTGCAAAATATCTTGTAAAAGAAATCTTAATGTTTTGATATTTATTTTATATCAAGAGGCTTTACCATACATGCCCTGTCTTACTTATTCCACTTACAGAAATCTACAAAATATTAGGCTCAAAGATATTAAGAATAGCATTTTTATAATATAAAATTTAGAAACAATGAGCATTTCTAACAGTTTGAAAATGGTTACATAAATTGTGGCAAATTGACAAGTTATACAACCAAAAATTATTTATATGAAGTTTAGAATTATGAAGCTAAATATTTATGATGTACTATTAAGGGAAGGAAGAAGCTGTTAAGGCTTTTTTTTTTTTTTTTTAAGATTTATTCATTTATTTAAAGGAGTTACACAGAGGAGACAGAGAGTGAGAGCTTCCTTCCTTCCACCTGCTGGTTCACTCCAGCCAGGGCTGGGCCAAGCCGTTGCCAGGAGCTTCTTCAAATACTCCATGTGGGTGTAGGGGACCAAGGACTTGGGTTATCTTCCACTGCTTTCCCAGGCCCTTAGCAGAGAACTGGATGGGAAAGTGTTTAAGATTTTATTTTACTTTATTTGAAAGACAGAGTTACAGAGAGGCAGAGGCAGAGAGACAGAGAGAAAGGTCTTCTATCCTTTGGTTCACTCCCCAGTTGGTTGCAACAGCTGGAGCTGTGCCAACACGAAGCCAGAAGCCAGGAGCTTCTTCTGGGTGTCCCAAGTGGGTGCTGGGGCCCAAAGACTTGGGCCATCTTCTGCTTTCTCAGGCCATAACAAAGAGCTGGATCGGAAGTGGTACAGCTGGGACTGTTGTGGCCATCTTGGTATTGAGTAAGCGGATGGGAGACCTCTCTCTCTGTCTCTGCCTCTGTCTCTCTCTAACTCTGCCTTTCACATAAGTAAATAAATCTTTAAAGAAAAATTAAAAGTATAACATATGCATGAAACGTACAAATTTTAAGAGAGCTGCAGATGGATGAATTTTCTAACTAGTCTCACCTATGCAATCAGTACCTATATCTAGAAAACTTATTTTCAGAACTTTATTTATAATTGTATAATACCATCTTTCAAAGTAAATATTTGTTTACCTCTTTATTTTTCTACAGGCAAGTGTCAATTGAGGAGGGGGAGAGGAAAGCCAAAGAGCTGAATGTCATGTTTATTGAAACCAGTGCAAAAGCAGGATACAATGTAAAGCAGGTAAGTGTTCTTTGAGTATGAGTGGAGATTGTCAGATTGAAAAAAAGCGTATGGAATAACTGTGGGAATATTCAGTTCTTTTGTGTAAAGCTTTCTTCTGGTTAGCAATAGCAGGCCTCATGAAATAGCAACATATTTTCGAATATTGAAAAAATATAAGTGGGCATGGTTTTTGGAAAAAGAGAAAAGATTTGCCAAATTTTTTAGATTGGGCACAGGACAGCTATTTCATTATGGTTGCAAAATTCATGATTGGAAAACTGTAAACTTCCCTTACTACATTTTTTAAGGTAAATTTTCCTTATTTCAGCATCTAATAGCAAGACTGATATAATAGTGTTTGCTTGTTGTGGAAGTATACTTGGATTACTTTATCCTTAGTAAATTGCTGGTATTTGAACAGTGTTTATGACAGGAATGTTTAATAGCTCAGGGAAATGTGAGTGTAGGGAGACTTCATATCAAACTGTTTTTTGCAAGATTGGACAAGTTAGAACCTCACCTGCTGGGGCCAGTGCTGTAGCACAACGGGTTGGGATGCTGGCATCGCAGGTGGAGGCTTAACCTGCTATGCCACAAAGCCAGCCCCATTTGCTTAACTTTTCAGTGCTACATAATATAGAGCAGTGGTCCCAGATTTACAGGATTTATAGAAATATAATTTTATTATTATTATTTGAAAAAGGCATGGGATAAAAAGTTAAAAGATCTGTCCTTGGTCTTTCTTAGGTCTTACACCATGGGAACTGTCATTTGGTGAACACACACCATGGACCAGGCAGTAGACTTCAAAATAACAATCCTTCCTCTGTTGGCTGGTCCTTTATGTGTATTTTATAAAAAGATTTATTTTACTTGTTAAGATTTATTTATTTGAGAAGCAGTTACAGACAGAGACAAGTAGAGAGAAAAAGAGAGAAAGGTCTTCTGTCCACTGATTCACTCTCCAAATGGCTGCAACAGCCAGTGCTAAGTCAGTCCGAAGCCCAGGAGCACCTTCTGGGTCTCCTACGTGGGTGCAGGGACCCAAGCATTTGGGCCATATTCTGCTGCTTTCCCAGGACATAGCAGAGAGCTGGATTGGAAGTGGATTAGCTGGGACATGAGCTGGCACCTATATGCAATGGCAGCACTGCAGGCAGAGGCCCAGCCTACTGTACAACAGTGCTGGCCCTTGTTTTACTTATTTGAGAGGCAGAGTGATAGAAGAGAAATGGGAAGATGGAGAGAGATCCCATCCGCTGGTTCACTCCCTTCAAATAGCTACAATGCCAGGGGCCGGGCCAGGCCGAAGCCCGCAGCCCAGAATTTCATCCAAGTCTCCCACATGATTGACAAGGACCTCAGTATTTGAGCCATAGCCATCACCTGCTGCCACCAGAGTGCATGTTAGCAGGAAGCTGGAATTGGAAGTGGATCCAGGATGCTGCACTATGGGTGAAGGCAACCCAAGTGGCCTCTTAACTATTGCACTAAATGCATGCACTAATGCATTTATTTTTTTAAATTGAAGATGATGAACAGAGGGTTAAAACAAAACCCTTTATTTTTTTTTAAGGATTTATTTATTTATTTGAAAGTCAGAGTTACACAGAGAAGAGAGGCAGAGAGAGAGAGAGGTCTTACATCCAATGGTTTACTCCCCAATTGGATACAACAGCTGGAGCTGGGCCAATCTGAAGCCAGGAGCTTCCTCCGGGTCTCTAATGCTTGGGCCATCTTCCATTGCTTTCCCAGGCCCACAGCAGAGAGCTGGATCGGAAGTGGAGCAGCTGGGTCTTGAACCAGCGCCCACATAGGATGCCAGCGCTTCAGACCAGGGTGTTAATCCGCTGCGCCACAGCACTGGCCCCAATAAAACCCTTTAAATAAGCAGAATTTTCTGAAAACCCTATATTCACTTTTTGCCACTTTATTTCCCATCTTGCCTTACACTGTTGTGTAATACTGAATTATTAATTCCTTCCTCATAGTTTTTTTTTTCTTTTTTTTTAATTTTTATTTATTTAAAAGGCAGAGTTACAGAGAGACAAGGAGAGACCTGGAGAGGTCTTCCATCCACTGGTTCACTCCCTAGATGGCCACAGCAGCCGGAGCTGGACCAATCTGGAACTAGGAGCTTCATCTAGGTCTCTGGCATGGTGGCAGGGGCCCTACCACTTTGGCCATCTTCTGCTGCTTTCCTAGGTGTATTGACAAAGCAGCCGGGACTTGAACTGGTGCCCATATGGGATGCCAGAGCTGCATGGGCTTAACCCATCAATGCCACAGAGCCAGCCCCTTTCTTGGTAACATGTTATAGCTCTATATCTGTGCTTGTACTATTGTTCCCTTTGCTTAGACTACTCATTTTTTCCTTTGCTAATTCCAGCTCCTTTTTTAAAACTCCAATGTAGAAATCAGCTCTTCAGCAACACTTTTTCTAGTATTTCCCATTCTACTTCATGGCTATGATTAGTGCCTTTCCTGTGTTTTCACAGACTCACACTTCTGTGAATCTAGTTACTGAATATAGCATATAGTACATTGAAATTATCCTGGGGCTGGCGCTGTGGCTCAGCGGGTTAACGCCCTGGCTTGGGGCGCCGGCATCCCATATGGGCACCGGTTCTGGTCCCAGCTGCTCCTCTTCTGATCTGGCTCTCTGCTGTGGCCTGGGAGAGCAGTAGAGGATGACTCAGGTCCTTGGGCCCCTGCCCCCCCATGGGAGGCTCCTGGCTCCTGGCTTCGGATCGGCGCAGCTCCGGCCATTGCGGCACTTGAGGAGTGAACCATCGGATGGAGGACCTCTCTCTCTCTCTCTGCCTCTCCTCTCTCTGTGTAACTCTGACTTTCAAATAAATAAATAAATCTTAAAAAGAAAAAAAGAAATTATCCATCTTAGAGTCAGCATTGTGTCGCAGCAGGTTGAAGATGCCCTGTGTGGGGCCACACTGTGGCAAAGAGGATAAAACAGCCACCGGCAGTGCCCATATGGGCACCGGTTCAAGTTCAGACTGATCTATTTCTTATCCACCTCTTACCTTTCACAAACATTAAGTATTTCAGCACTTAGTCTTACCTGAGTGTTTATCTATATTTGAAACTGAGTACTATATGTAAATGGAAGTGGACCTACCTTATACAATTAATGTTACATCGATTTGATATGTTGCTAATTCATATCTCTGATCATGCACAGTTTTATCAGAAATGATGTCAAGGTAAGCAGGTTACATACATATCCCAAGTAAAGGGACAGGCATTTGACATAGCAGTGAAGACTCCTTGGGACGCCTGCATTCTCTATTGAAGTAACAGGGTTTAAGTCCTGGCTCCACTGATTCTGCTTCCTGCTAATGTAGTCTCTGGGAGGCATCAAGTGATGGGCTCAAGTAATTTGTTCTTGAAAGACTTGGATTGAGTTCCTGGCTCTTGGCTTCACCCTGGCCAATCCCTGCTGTTGTGGGCATTTGGAGATGAAACCAGCAGGTGGTTGATCTCTTTCTGCCTCTGTTTCCTCTCTCTTTTTCCTGTGTGTCTCTGCCTTTCAAATAAGTAATTCTCTCTTTTTTTTTTTTTGAGAAGAATCTGTTGTTGTTCTGTCCGTGTCTGTTCCCACATACTTTAGTGTATCTCCTGTTGAAGATGCTTTGCATAGCATTGTGCTTCAAACACGGTCCAGCCACTTTGGCTGGCACTCATTCCAGTGATGAAGGGAAAGCCAGCTGTGTTGGATTTGAGAGGTCTTGTGTTGATATCTAATATTAGTGCTTTCTCAAAGAATTATTGAGGGTACTTTTGAATAGACTGATTTTCACAGACTAATTTAGAACCTAACCCTTTATGAAAGATAGAAATACCACTATACAGTTCTATTAAAGGAGTGATTTGTTTGTTCAGATTTTCTATAGAACTTTATTTTTATGACTCAGATTACATTTTTGCTGTTTATTTTGAAGCTGTTCAGTTGGAAAGCAGGGATCCTGTGTTTATTCACTCATTGTATTTGGCATACAGCTTTTTATATATTAATTTATAGAATTGAATGGACATTGTAATGTGCTTTCTTGGCAGTAAAGACTATGTGAGGAGTAACCCAAAAGATGTATACTTTTAGTCATCTTCCAGCAGTAATCCATCACTGTTTGCTAAGTTTTTCCTCCAGTTGTCAAATTTCTTTTTCCCGCAGCTCTTCCGACGTGTAGCAGCAGCTTTGCCTGGAATGGAAAGCACACAGGACAGAAGCAGAGAAGACAGTATCCTTTTTGTTTCATGAGAAACCTTAATTGTTAGCGTTGGTCTTTTACAGCCCCACTTGGTTGACTAAAGAATATTGTGCCATTGCCTTTTACAGCCACAAATTGATGGTTTAAGAGCACAGGAACTCGGGTTTTTCATCTCACACTGGGCCTGGTGATCCAAGTGCACACTTTGCAGCCTCCTGCTGATGATAATTCATTTGTACAAGGGTTTTTATTTGCCCTTGCCTTAGCAGGAAACTCTAGAATCCCAGTCTCCTGCTTCTTCCCTGTAGCATATCTTAGTTCCTATTTTTTTCCTAACATTTATGCTACTTGACACAAGCAGTAAATAACTCAGGATGAGCTTTATTGCAGTCGTTCCTTCCAGAAACAGGACATCATGAAGTACCTGTAATATCGGTTATTTCCAAGGATTTTGAATTTGCTATTTTATGTGTTACCTTCTTGAGTTTTTCCATATACATACATTTTATTAGAGTTCATAGGCCCTTTGTAGTCAGCTCTTCCCACTTCCAAATGTTTTCTGTTTTCCAAGCCTTTATTCCTAATAATGACATAATATGTTCTTCTAAGTTAAAGTCCTGTTATTTATTACATTTTTCCCTATTGTTGAAACTTTTGTGGGCTATTTTCAGGTTTTTGTTACAGATGAATCTATAAAGAAAATCACCTCCATACGGTTTCTTGCTGCTGTAGAGTAATTTCTTTAGAATAGTATGGTGAAGTATGTATTTGGAAAATACAGGAGCTTGCCAGAAGTGTCAGTGTTGGAATTGTACGTTCCCACCTATGCCTCCTTAACTTTTGTTTCAGTGATTGACATAAAACTGGAAAAGCCTCAGGAGCAACCAGTCAGTGAAGGAGGCTGTTCCTGCTAATCCCCCATGACATCTTCAGCCCTCAGAAGCTCACTGCTTTGGCCCTGTTACTCTTTCATTGACTGCAGTGTGAATATTGGCTTGAACCTTTTCCCATCAGTAATAACGTATTGCAATTCATCATTGCTGCCTGTCTCGTGGAGATGATCTATTAGCTTCACAAGCACAAAAAAAGTCAGTGTCTTCATTATTTATATTTTACAGAAAGCCAAAAGATTCAGCATATTCCATTGATAACTTTAAAAATTAGATACATTTTCTTAACATTTTTTCCTTTTTTAATGTTATGATAATGTACTTCAAAATGATGGAAATCTCAACAGCAATGTGAATGAGGCTTGGTTAAGGAGCAGTATGCTCACCACAGCACTTGGCCAACCTACTTGATCTCTCCATGCTTTCCTTACCTTCACCTAACCCTCACTCCTGAGTCTTACTCCTCCCCTCCCTCAGAACAGACAGGAGGTAGCAAAGCAGCAGCCTGATCAGGCTCATTGGAATTATAGACACCATTTGCTTTAGGCAAAGGGCCAAGACGTCCAAAATTACTCTTGAGCACTGATACGAATTACTTGGACTTTCTTTGAAGTCAACTCAGCTGTCATAGTAGGCAGTGCTTGAATATGAGAAGGTTCTGGTGTGTCTTCAAAATGAGTCCTAATGAACACACTGAGTACTTACAAGTAGCAAAAAATATATTTCCCACCAAAATCAAATAACCCTTTCACATGTGTTTTCTTAGACTTTGGGTGAGAAAAGTAACAAAGTGCTTCAGAACAGATTTTTAATATTTAATTCTAAACAGTAAATCATAAAATTTAATGAATCTATTTCTCTCAAGATTTTAAAATTCTCAAGGTAGTATTACTCTGGTAAAAAAAAGACAACATGTTTGAGCAATAGACTTTGCATGGGTTTCTTTCTTTCTTAAAAATGCTATGCAGGCAAGGTGCTGTAAAAGTCAAATTCCTTTTAGAAGAACTAGTGGAAGAATTTAAAATTGGCACAGTGACCAAAACTACTATAACAAGTAGAAATAACGGTATCAACAAAAGAACCCTCACCAAATAGCAAATATTTTGCTCAGGACATTTGAGGTCAAGTTAAAGATGAAAACAGGATTCAAGAGGGAAAGGAGAGAATGCAAATAAAACTTAATATTATGCAGATTTATTCCTTATTTTTTAGCATTTTTTTAAATGTTGGGTCTTTCAGGCTGGTTTTGCTTTTTATTAGATCTGTATAGTTTGATTAATTAACTAGTGATTTAGTTTTATATTTAAGCTATAATTAATCCTTTTTCTTTGGTGATATTTATTTCTTTGCCTTTTTTTTTAAACCTTCAATTTTAGATGTTTTGTTTGATCTATTTGGAGCTTCATCACCATGGCAATATGTATTTCCCTTAAAACACTGCAAACAAATATATTAGGAGTGCACCCTTTTAATCTTTACTAGTTATTGTGAGATTGCTGTGTAAGTTAATAAACATATTTGTAAATACATTGTTTGCAGGAAGAAAATTTCTGAGTGATAACTCAGAAAAAGCCTGCTGAATTTATGTTGTAAGCATTACTTAACACAGTATAAAGATGAAAAGACAACAAGAATATCTTCTTAATTCCTTCTCTCCTCATTGCAACAAAACCCTTAACAAGGAAACCTTATTTCCCTGTTTTTCCTCTTTCTCCTCCACTCCTCACTTCTTGTCACCTTGTAATATTCAAAGAGCACTTGGATTATGGATCTGAACAGAGAAATGCTTTCAGATAATCATTAGCCCACCTACCCGTAACTTATACTCAAAGATGGGATGGAGTTGTAAAGTGCTTTTATAATACAATATTATTGTTAAAGGCAAGGATTGACTCTTCTGTTTTATTTTGACATGGCATGTCCTGAAATAAATATCAATTCAATATGGCAGATGGGTCATATTCTTTATTTGGGGAAAGTTGTGATTTCTGACTAGAAGGTAATTATCTTCCTATGCTGTTGCTTTTTTTTTTTATGTAACTTTAAGAAAGTAACCAGTTATGCTACTTTTAATATTGGTCTTTTTGTTTGGCTTGGGGTTCTTCAGCTGAAACAGTAAAGTGTATTCATAGTTTAGATTTTTTTTAATAAACACAATTTTGCTGCCAAAAATAATATAAATAAAACAGAAAAGAAAACACTAATTGACTTGGTTTCCCATTCCTGCCAAGGTGGTAAATTAGCACATGCTTCTTGATTCTTCTGTAGAACACAGTATTCCCTGCCTAGGGAATGTAAAACCTGAAAAATAGCAAAATAAGAACAAATGTGAAAAACCCCTGAGAAGTCAGAAGACTGTTTTCTATCCTTGGGGGTGAGGCAGAATGACTGAAGCTTGGGAGACATGGCCCTCCCTGGTAGAGGCACTAATGGGATATGCAGGTATGCATTATGTAATAGCATTCTAGTTAAAGCTGGGCTGCATGTATGATGGTGGCCCCCTGTGATTATAGTGAGTCACTAATTTCCTATTACCTAGTAATGTAGGCATTGTAAAATGACTCAGTATATCACTCGTGTGTTTGTAGTGGTGTTGGTATAAAACAACATTGCACTACCAATCTTTTTTTTTTTTTACAGCACAAACAATTGTGTCAATACATAATACTTAATACGTAATTATAATAACTGTGTTACTGCTTTATTCTTTATTTACTATTCTTTTTAAAGTTTTTTGGGGCCAGCACTCCACCTGTGGCACCAGCATCCCATATGGGCATCAGTTCTAGTCTGGCTGCTTCTCTTCTGATTCAGCTCTCTGCTATGGCCTGGGAGAGCAGTGGAAAATGACCCGAGTGCTTGTTCCCCTGCACCTGCATGGGAGACCTGGAAGAAGTTCCTGGCTCCTGGCTCCAGATCGGCCCAGCTTCAGCTGTTGGGGCCATTTGGGGAGTGAATCAGCGGAAGGAAGACTTTCCCTCAGTCTCTCCTTCTCTCTGTAACTCTTCCTCTCTAAATCTTCACCAAAAAACAAAAAAAAAGTTTAAAAGTTGTTTTTGTTTTTGTTTTTTTGTTAAATAGAGTTGCAGAGAGATCTTCCATCTGCTGGTTTGCTTCCCAAATGGTCTGAAATGGCCAGGACTGGGCCAGACTGAAGCCAGGGGCTTCTTCCAGGTCTCCTGCGTGGGTGCAGGGGCCCAAGCACTTGGGCCGTTCCCTGCTGCCCTCCCAGAGAAATGAGCAAGGAGCTGGATCAGAAGTGGAGCAGCTGGGTCATGAGCCAGTACCCATATGGGATGCTGGCATTGCATGCAGCAGCTTTGCCCATTATGCCACATGCCGGCCCTCCAAATTTTTAAAATTCATTCAAGAGGCAGAAAGCAAGATGGTCAGAACTCTCAGTTACTGGTTAACTTTCCAAATGGCCCAGGATCTAGGAACTCATTGAAGACTTCCTATGTGAGTGTCGGTGATCCAAGTACAAAAGCTATCGCCTGGGGCTGGCTCTGTGGCCTAGCAAGTAAAGCTGCCGCCTGCAGTACCAGCATCCCATATGGGTGCCAGTTTAAGACCCGGCTGTTCCATATCCGATCCAACTCTGTGCTATGGCCTGGGAAAGCAGTAGAAGATGGCCCAAGTCCTTAGGTCCCTGCACCCTCATGGGAGACCCAGAAGAAACTCCTGGCTTCATACCGACCCAGCTGCAGCTGTTTCAGCCATTTGAGGAGTGAGCCAGTGGATGGAAAATCGATCTCTCTGTTACTCTGCCTTTCAAATAAATTAATTAATTTAAAAAAATCTATTACTACTGTGTCTCAAATTTTTATTAGCACGCAGCTGGAATCAGGAGCAGAGCAGAGCCAGGATTCAAACCCAAGCACTCTTTCATAGGATGCAGGTGCCCCAAAAGTCATAACCACTGTAACAAGCCCCCACCCCATCCTTTTTATCTTTATTCTACTTAAAAATAAAATGTTTATTGCAAAAACAGTATGTTGTATCACCAGCAGTACCCTCATCCATCTCATACTTACCATCCGATTTTCTCTCGTGCCTGATTTTTTTTTTATAGGAAGGAGTACTCAGAAGCACATAGAATTTTTTTAAGACTTATTTATTTGAAAGAGTAACAGAGAGAGAGAAAGAGGCAGAGAGAGAGGGATCTTCCATTCCCTGGTTCATACCCCAAATGGCTGTAACGACCAGAGTTGGGCCAATCCGAAGCTAGGAACCAGGAGCTGCTTCTGGGTCTCCCATGTGGGTGCAGGGGCTCAAAGACTTGAGCATCTTCAGCTGCTTTCCCCAGCACATAAGCAGGGAGCTGGGTTGGAAGTGGGGCAGCTGAGACTTGAACCAACGCCCCTATAGAGTGGTGGCGCCACAGGCGGGAGCTTTACCCACTTTGCCACAGCGCCAGCCCCTTTTGTGCCTGATTTAATCTTCTGTTTTAATCAGCATGGTCCCAAGAATAATAAGAATGTAGTAGTGGACTATACCTCTAGGTTTGTGTAAGTACGCTCTATGATGCTTCCACAATGAGAAAATCTGTCCCCATTACTAAGTGGTGAGTGGCTGCTAAGAACAGTAATTTAAGTTCTTTCGCCTCATTTCTACCTAATCACAGCTTTGTTTTGGGTTGAGGCCTGCAGACTGTGACCCACCAAATCCAGCCTGCTTGCTGCTTTCTATTTTTTAAACTAAGTTTTTATTAATTTTTTTTTAATAAGAAATTTTTTTCATATTTGTAATATGAAAATTATGTTTTCATATTACAAAGGCAGAATTTAGTAGTTACAACAGACCTATGTCCTGAAAAGCTAAAAATATTTACTATCTGGGCCTTTGCAAAAAAAAAAAAGGAAAACGTACCTTGGGTCAAACCATAGCTGACACCCCTCTGTTAGTTTTTCATCCCTCTAAAGAAATAAGATGAGGCAGCTCACTTTAGAAAAAGTTGCTTTGTTTGCTTTGGAGGTTTAAAGTCCACGGTGCATTGGTTTGGCCTCATGATGGCAGTGGATGGCGGCACTTCATGGCTGGAGCAGGTGTGTGAAAGAATTTTTATCACTAAACAGGAAATCAGAGACTAGACAAGCCCCACAGTCCCTCCTGGGGGCATGCCCCTGATGATCTTAAGGCCTTCCACCAAGCTCCACTGTCCAGAATTTCCACCTGACCTGCTAGTCGTTCCACCTTGTGAACCAAGCCCTTAATTAATCATGAATCTTTGGGAAACACCCAAAGCAATATCCAAGCCATGGCATTCCCTTACTGTAGGAATGAAGGCCACAGCCAGAATACTGGTGAGGGGTAATCCACTGAGTACTGTTAGAACAGTGAAGAAACCCTGATAGGTTGGGCCAGCTCTGTGGTGTAGCAGGTTAAGCCTGGGCCTGCAGCACCGCATCCCATATGGGTACCCGGATGCTGCTCCACTTCTGACCCAGCTCGCTGCTACTGTGCCTCAGGAAGCAGCAGGAGATCATGTAGGAGACCTGTGTGAAGCTCCTGGCTCCAGCCTGGCTCAGCCCTGGCTGTTGCAGCCATATGAAGAGTGAACCAGCAGATGGAAGGTATTTTCTCTCTGTAATTCTGACTTTCAAATACATAAATCCTAAAAAAATGAACTGATGTGAGGAACTGGTGAAAATGAAGGTAAGACTCAAATAAGATGTGGCTTGTGGAGACAATACTGAGTGGGAGCAATTCCATAGTCTTCTGGCTCCTGGAACTCTTCATCCCAAGGTTTGTCTGCTCTGCTCCTTAACTTGACAGTGGTCAGTGACCCTTACTCTGTATTCCTCCCCAAACTAGTGACCTGTACCCCCAAGGGGATTTGAACTCAAGCCAACGTAGTGGGATACCTGCAAACTGCCTCAAAAGGAAAAGTATTTTCTGAGTAGGACTTTAAGAGAGGCAATCAATAATCTCTGTCTTTCCCTCTCTCTCTAATTCTGATTTATAAATAAATCTTTTTAAAAAGTTGAGTTGAATTAAGGAACACACAGAATAAATGACAATTGGTCCCGTTGACTAAATGAGTTGGAACCTTAAGTTGAGTCACTAGAAAGCAGAGAAATAGAGAAGATAAAAGAGGGTAACGGCATCAGTGGCAACAATCAGTATCAATTCCAGAAACATTAATGGAAAAACTTTTTTTTTTTTAATTATTTTTTCATTTGAAAGAGGTAGAGACAGAGCGGTCTTCCATCTGATGGTTTACTCCCCAGATGGCCGCATCAGCAGGAGCTGCACTGATCCAAAGCCAGTAGCCAGGAGCTTCTTCTGGGTCTCCCACATGGGTGCAGGGGCCCAAAGACTTGGGCCATCTTCCACTGCTTTCCCAGGCCATAGCAGAGAGCTGGATTGGAAGAGGAGCAGCTGGGACCAGAACCAGCGCCCATATTGGATGCTGGTGCTTCAGGGCAGGGCTTTAACCCGTTGTGCCATAGCACCGGCCCCCAAGCAAAACTTTTGTTCATGGTGTATATGGTAGACAGCTGCCTATCTTCTGAATGCGGCTTGCAAAATGGCTTCTCATCCCCTTCCTTGTTTATATGATGCACCTAGTGACTTGCTTATAAGAAATAGAGTATAGCAAAAGTGATAATGTCACTCCAAGATTAGATTATGAAAGTCTGTGGCTTCTGCAGTCACATCGTTTCTAACTCTTCTGCCTCTCTATTAAAACAACCTGTCATGTGAATTATTTTTTGACATCCAGGTAGCCTGGAGCTGAGGGCAGCCTTCAGCCAGTAGCCTTTGAAGAACTGAGGACTTTACTAAAACAGCTTACAAGAAACAGAAAAGACCTAGGCAGAAAATAAAGTACTTGCCACATGTCAAAATGTGTGAACTCTACAAAAGTTTGTTAAGAAAACAGTTAAGAAAAAAAAAAACCCAGAGATTTGGCCAGATACTTCGTCATCAAACAAACTAGACAAATGG